TGCTATAGAATACTTAAGTTTATTGCGTAAATTTGTATTGCTTGGATACCACACCACGACTATTGTCAATGCAACTGGAGTATTTCCGGTGAACTTGGATGAATACTACAGATCATTACAGGCAGTGATGTTTTGAGTCACTGCACCCAATGTATGATGATTGATGTCGATAAAAATTTAACCTACCGTGAAGAAAAAAGCCCAGATGGAAATTTGAAGTCTCTGGGTAATATAGTACAATGTTACCTATGTTTAGAAAATGTAGTTTAATTCGAGGGAGATGCAATTTTGATTTTCTCCCGCTGGATTAAAACGAAACATTTTCATGTTTCATCTTAGAGCTTATGCTAACCATTCTTCTCATGTGACAAAATCGAAACTCACTCAAAAAGGGAAGGCTTACGATTGTGACGTGAGGTTTAATTTAGCAAATCGACTCAATCCGATTGATTGACAGGCACGAAGGGTTTCATCTTTTGTTATTCTTTATAAACCACAAAATTCCTTCATGTAAAGGGAAAACTAGCCTTTATTAAATAAAGAATAACTTAAATAAATTTGCAATGCTTTTGAGCCTGATCTGTTTTGAAAACTTTATTTCTTGTATGTTTTTATCTCAAACAACAACGTTGTTTATTATAATTTAATTCTTCTCTGTCTTTCGACACGGTTCAAGCTCATTGCACCGTCTAATAAACGTTCGATCCTTTCCAACAGGAACAGTAAAGATAATTCTCACAAAGATTTTAGAATTTGCACGAGCTTTTTCTGTTTGTTTTCTATTTGACTACGCTTTTATGGGGCTTAAGATATGAAGCTGGTGTTTGCATAAGGTATGCTCAGCAAAATAACCTGTAATTAAACTGAGTCGGTAACTATGCAAATGTTAACTTTGCTGTAGGATACACAAATGTAAATTTTTCAAGGATTTTTTTCCTGCTCCTAAATTTTCGCATTTCATCTCTGTTGAAGAAAATGAGAAAACACAAGGGAATCAAAGAAAATCGGTATATGAAACTTTCTCGTGCTTTCCAATACCTTCTTCTAAGCTTTTCCGCCAGCAAAAGTGCTCTGAAACCGCAGCCAGTCAATCAAGTTGAATTTTCCATTTAATTTAACTCTTAAGAGTCTTCTTTAAGAAAATTGACGAATTTCGATTACCCATTGGCGCCTTTTAACAGTTAAATTGAGAATTGTCACGAAACATTCTCAGCAACTCACGAACACTGTGATATCAGGATTCTGGAGAATGCAGTCAGCTGTATTGATATCTACTCCATGGAAACTAATCAAAATAAAAGTAAGACAGAAGTCTGTTTTAAAAATGCGTGGCTAAATTCCTCTTGTTAGTGAGATTCCGTTACTTGCCCTTAAGTCCAATTCAGGGTATTGGTGTCCCAACTTCCTTCCTTCCAACAAACCACTGTGGGGAAACTGAGTTATCTATAAGACAGGCGCTTTCCCTTGGTGTAATGTTTGTTTCAACTTAGTTTCGTCTTTGTTAAGTTCTTAGACAAACAATTTACATTCGAATACAGCACCCTGCCGGTCTCTTTAGAAGATCATGTTTTTGTTCACAATGGGTTGTCCTCAAGGTCTTCCTATTTCCACTTTATTCTATAACTGGAATTCCTTCGCGAAATCAAATATCTTTCGAGTAAATAATATGCGCAAGACAGTATTGTTCGGACAAGCCACGAAAGCAAGGCAAGCTCTTTTAACTGGCTTTGCTATTAACAGGTGTTACTCTGTTGTCATTCTTCGTAATCACCTAAAACCCGACGGATTTAAAAGTTATATTATTAATGAAAGATTAACTATATGGAATTCTGGATGCGTTACATCACGATCCTTGATAAAAATTCAAAATTATTGTCTGTTTTGACCTCAAAGAGAGCTGAAGCGGAAGATTTAGCAAGATTTATGGTGCCCATCGTTAGTATTAAAATGTTTCCCAACAGGAGGCTTATAAATTATGGGAACCAAGAACATGTTAACTTTGCAAAAACTTTCTGTGTCTGCTTTGTCTCTAGATTATTAATTCTGAGGCTTAAGTTTTGAAAGTGGTATTTCAACAAGGTTTGAAAGGACCATGATTAATTAAGGAAAAATAATTGGACTAACCAGACACTTGTGCAAATATTTACTTGGTCAAATTACAAAAGCAAAATTATTTAAGGCTAGGGTAACATCACCACTGTCCATATTTCAATACCAATCCGTTTATGAAGTAACTAGGAACGGAATAAGAGATTTTACGCAATCTGTCTCCTTCTCCCTTCCTACCACCCTTATCTTGCTATAAATTTATCATGCAGATTGCAGACAAAGTGCGCCCTGTCAGTCAAATTGAAGTCAAATTGAAGTCCAATTCGTATCAGCTGTTTAAACTCTTGTGAGAAGTGACGCTAATTGACAAATTCCGAACACCCATCACCGCAAGACGTAAGAATTCTTGAGCATTTGTATTTGCCAAATCACCTTGGACAGTTATTATGCAGCAGATTCAGCAAAAGCAATGTATTAGTCCCTGGTACAAACACAAATTCAAATTACACAAGTTGGTCAGCTGCATTATTTACTACTCCTTTTTCATCTTTAACCGTCTCAGAACTTGAAATATGGAAAAAATCGTTGTAACGTAAAGGTAAAGGATAATTATGTCCGAGTCGGAGGCATGCTTTTAGTAAAGTCATTAACTTAAACGTTGTCTTTTGTTTCAGTAAAAATGTTTTCATTTTTGGGCTAGTGTTTATCTAAAACTGTTGACAAAAGCCCTAGGTGGGAAAAAAAATAAACTAAATAATAATCTGCATCAAAATTGCACCCTGCTTACTTATGTAGACGGACGTGTTTGCCACCGGCTACCCTTTTATTCCTTGTGTGGCATTTTCCAAGAGCTTACGTCCTGTGCTGTTTACTGAGCTGAACTGCAATCGAACCGACGTACCCGCCTTTCCTTTTCATTGTGCTTAAATTGTACTTTTTATTTAATCGAAGGCAAGCTGATATGCAAAAGCTCTCTTTTAGACTTTGGCTGCATTTACTGACAAACTTTAACACTAGGTTTTAAGAGTAATAGTAGATTTAACATTTATCAAGCATTTGTTACTTTCCTCCGTTTATCGTAGCGTAAAGTTTCAATTTGAATGAAGCCAGTTCAGTCTTTTTTTAGTTCAATTTGACTACTTGGGAGGTTTTAAATCTCTCCAGGAGCGGGTTGAATGGTATTTCCTTTTGATACCAGAAATAAAAATACTACTGCCTTTTTTTAGGCCTGCGACATATAGTTATGTCGTAGCCTTGAAGAATAATTAAAAATTTAGTTTGTCTGATCAAAATAATATGGCGATAAACAAAAGAGCGAACAGGAACAGGGGAGGAAGAGTCCTTTCTAAAATGTTTCGATGTTCTTTGGTGTTCAACCATTTCCGGTATTGCGTGAGACGTGCTAATAGTCGGCAATTTTTATTTGCCAAATTGCCTCAGGGGTTAATCAGCGAAAGGTGTTTACAACAGACGAGACATAATTTGGTGGAGTCTCCAGGATATTTCTGCAACCGGAAAGGAGATACATGCTCAGAAGACCATTTAAGTTGTTGACGCACGTTTGAACATTTCGTGTGCTTTTTTCTCTTTGTGCCGATTCTAATCTGAGGACCAGCTGGCAACAGTCTATATTTACAGATCATTCGTGGCATCAAGGCCAGGTAATATCTTTGAAAGTGCCTCCATGATTGACAATTATAGTTCTTGAAAATGGAAGGATGCTGGAATCTTGGCATACCCTTGTGATTCCCAACGCGGTGTCAATTCTTGCTCAACGCCTTGGCTGAAATTTATAACTTACCTACATATTGTACACACTTTATCCTTCACATTAAGAATCTTATTGACTTTTTATATCCTATAAGCCGAACAGTTCAAGATTTGTATGAATGAAAATTTAGCCACAGCGGTTTTTTTTGTTTGTTTGTTTTTTTGACTCCGTTAAGGCATGTCCGCGCAAAATTCCCTGCAATATCTTAAGGAAGACTTTGCAGCAAAGAGAGTCACTAGACAGCATAAGCCAACTTTGAAACAAAGACGGTGGAAGCGCTCGTTTTCCTCCGCTTTGGCCTGGATTCGATTCCCTAAACCGTTGATGCATTGATGCGAGTGTGTTGAATTTTTTGGTTGTTCTCTACATTGTTTCAAGGGTTTCCTTACCTCCTCAAAAACCATCGATTCAACCTGGAAAACAGAGTACGAAAACCCATCCCGTGCAAATTCCAAAGTAAAACTTTGATTTGTTTATTTCATGTAATATGTAAATTTTCCTTTGACGTATACGCTCGCCCTTGAGTATTCTTCTCCTTCTTGCCCTTGTCACTTCGATTCCTGTGCATCGAAACCTTTTTGGCTAATGTTGTTTCAGACCATGATTTATTCAAAATGGCTACCGCGTCAGTGAAAAGATTTCATACCACAATTATGCATGTTATATTCGAAAGCCCGCAGAGATATTTTTATAAATCTTTAACCACGTAACTTGAGATTTTCATTCATATTAACAAGCTAAAGGATAAGAAATGACACTATTTTCCTATTTGTCAAGTTGTGATTTTGACTGATGGATTCGCCTCAAGTGTTTTCTACTGATATCATCTATATTATCGCTTTTGCATGTCCGTTAGTAGAACTTGTGAGTTGTAGCGGTTAAATCTTCTATTATATTTCTATTTTGGAAGATAGTATTGGCAAATTAACATAAGTTGTCTTTTATTAATTTTAATTCTGTCTGAAAACAGGATTTTTTGAATTGATAAACTCTAGTTAAGATCAGAAGCTTTCACTGTAAAGAATCCGAAGAAAAGAACAGCAAAATATGCCCCGAAAGAGAAGTATTTCCTTTCGTCCGAAAAGTATTTCAGTTTGACGCTAGCGCTGTTCAGGCCAATCATATTCCAAATAACGTGGAAAACGCTGGCATTTAAATTTCTTCGTGCGCGAAAATGAGAATGTCTGATTCCATTGCCATGTCAGAAAGGTAGGAGATTTGAGCCCATACTAATCTTTCACCAAAACTATTTTTATAAATGTATCACGAGTCAAGCCTCAATACCAGTGAATAGTAGTATTTCAGTATTGTTCTAAATATTTTCTACTTAAGATATACTGTCAATATTACTTCAGTAGACTCAAAGTCTCCACGAAATGTAGTTGTGGGAAATAGGTAAAACATCGTTCTTGATAATACAAGTGCATCGCTAAAGCTCTTGCTACTATGGTGGTTTGTCATGAACATAGATAGTAAGTTCGAATTACTCGTTGAAGTTAAAATTACCTTCAGTTAAAGTTGTATCAAGGTCATTTCGCACGAGCTAGTTGTGATCTCCTTAGTCAGGTCAGGTAGTTAAATTTGCTTCTTTTCGGGTACCTCGACCGAATATTTTGTTGCTAAAATTGATCCAGAGTGCAACAGCAGTTGCACAGCAATACCAGCTTATGTTTCGAAAGACCTAAAGTAACCTGTAACCAAGTAACTCTAACCAAGTTGAAAATTTACTTGAATTTAGCGGCTTCTATTTCCTTCGAGTGAGCAGGCTTATTCAACAATTTGACTGATCATAAGTTTGCTGAACAATGTGTTGTTATTATAATATATTCTTATTGATCAGATCAGGGAGATTAACGGTTGAATAGCAGCGCCCAATTTTCACTCAGCTCTGTCTTACCCCCCAACTGTCATATCTGTTGTTGTTCATTTTGTATTTGTTTAATTATCATCTTGTATCATCATTTTGTGGCATGTTCTTGTGGCAGGTCCTTTGCTATGATTTCTCAAGAAAAGTTAAACAGTGAGCAAAAGGTTTTCACTCGAGTTCCTTGTTGCAATCCTGAACGAAATACGACAAAAATTAGCATAACGTTGCTTATTGTGATTAAGAAATGAGATTCAGTCTTTTTACTAATGAATATTTTTTCTAATGAACCCTCAAAATGTGGTGAACTGCAAGCGATATTTAGACAATATTGCGTGTGTTACATTTTAAGGTCAGGATTAAAGCCAACCTTAGACATACCGCGCTGCTGACCGTCAAGTTTTGATAGACATCTTGACCTGAAATTTCTTCAGACACGGACAACAATACGAAGCGAAATTATCTCACAGAGAACATAACTCGGCCTCCTTTTGAATTCTCACCGCGCCAGGATACGTCTGGATATCGTCTTGTTTCAAGCCACCGTTATACTTTTTGAACCAAAACATTCACGTTTAATAGTGCCCCCTGGAAAAACGTTATGTGGCAAAAGATAAACAGATGCAGTGAACTCAATTCAAGGATAACGGAGAAAGTTTGACTGCCTCAGAGGAGCGTTCCATATCATCGTCATGATTGTTATGGTTACGGTAACCTTAAATTTAATTACCGCTGTCAGAGAATAGAACTTTATGGTAAACATCTTAATTTAAATTCAAATTTTTGAATTTAATCCAGCTTTCGACGTGCTGAAGGGTATTTAGACGAACTTTCTTGAGCTCAACATGTTAGGTGATGTGTTATCTTATCGAGTTCTAGTCTGCACAAATATTGCGCAATGAGGCTTGAACATAAAACATAATACGAAGGATACAAAAAATATATATTTGATGGTTGATACGCGCAAATTAAGTAAAGGAAAATGAAATTATTAAAATGCTGGCCTTGAAATTATTGTGGTAAATTAGGTTCCTTTGATAGTGGGTCTGCATTTTCATCGGTGTCCACATTTGTCTGAATACTGGTGTGGCAAGATGCCAAAGTTTTTCTTTGTTAGGCAGGTTAAGCGCCCAGGATGTAGAAAGACTGAGGGCCTTGCTGGCTGAAAATACTAACGGAATGGTACAGTTTTTACCATTTTCAGTACCTTCAGATATGCATTCACAGTTAAAAAAGTTAGCATTTATTTTCCTGTAGACTTGTCTTTTTGCGTAGTCATTGGTGCATAACAATAGTGCTTCACAACAAATGGCAGCGCATAATTAATTTCTCTCAGATCATTATTTCCTATCTTCGTAGGAATGATGAACAATGCAAAGTGCAGCCTAATTCGAAAAACTTGAACTTCATACTCATCTATCCTCTTAAAACTCGGAGATGGTCAATGTTCATTAATGCAAGCTAAACGATCTGATAATTTTGGTAGAAATGAGTTATTCATGAATAGCAATGCAGTGGGAGGAAGTGGCCTGTAATATTTGGCAACTCAAAAGTCTCTCAAACTTCGCCCTTTGTATTTTTTTTTCGCAGTTTTTTTACAATGAACCTTCCAAAGGTACTATTTCAAATTGAATAAAGCAAATGTATCCGGACTAAATGCGACGAAACAAGTAATTGCACTTCATTGAACACGGAACCAAAAGAAGCAAATTTAATTATGGCTTTCATTGTTCTAGTATGTTGTGAGAATTTGCAAGTCTCAGCTTGATCAGTTTTCTGGTATGTCATCATCATTTTTAACTCAGAGAGAAAAGCACGAAATTCAAAAAAAAAAAAACCTAGAAAATGCGTGGTGAAAAGGATCTAAAATACACTCGACTAGTTTAAGTTTTGCTCATGATAGCTTCGGTGACGCAATGCGACAGTTGACAAGATTAACAAATCCAAATCAAAGTGGTCAGTATTTTAGCATTTCCCTTCCTTAGAAGTTTATTGCACAGTCACCCATTTCTGATATTTGACATTTCCGTTCGGCCATCATTGACACATCTTACGAGCTAGTAATGGATAATTTATTTGTACACCGTACAAGCTGCCTGTGTATGCAAAAGTATTTGAGTTTAGCTCACTTGTATTTGCTATCCTTTCTATCTGCCTTCTTAGAATGTACAGAATGCGATTTCCATCGTCCAATTGGCTTTTCCTGGTTTTTGCGTTGCTTCTATCCATCGGTAAGGCACTCCTACAGCACCTTCTTTAAATGCACCTCGTATTTTATTGAAAAAGCAACGATACTTTATGCCCTGCATTCAACGCCTTTTACTTTACTTTCAGTGTAGAGTAAGAAAACCTTACTAAGCTCACGAGGACACACTGTAGAATCAAAATAAAATCGAGAGGATAAATCAAAAACAAGTTTTAGTTTCTGTAATACCCTGGGTGTAGGAACATTTTTGTAACAAAACTTGTTATCTCCGAAATCAGCAGGCCTTTAACTGTCACTCTTTCCAAATGGAAGCTACCCGAAGAATTTACCACACAAAGACATTTGGGAAGATTTCAAACAAAGTCGTGGCATACGTTTGCAAAACAACGCAGTTTCAAATAAAAATAAGAGAGTAATTCAAGGGTTTACGCTCTGGATAAGACATTTTGACTAGGAATTAATATAGGCTATTTATAAACTTGTTGTAGCTTTTTTTGTAGAATGGTTGATTTACTTGATTTTGTTCACCAATCTTTCTTACTTAGACGCTGTCCTAGCAAGGAAATCTAAACAAGTAAGTCAAATTTTTCCTCGGAAAAATGTTTCAATGGTAGTTTAATTTCAAAGCTCATACCTTGGTTGAAAAAAAAATTTCCAAACTACTTGTTCAAATTTGCGAGGGGTTCGTATTTTTCAATGATTACTTGATGTTGCTTATGTTTTGTATGTAAGATGCGTTACGGAAATCGATTTCACTTTGGTTGTGCGATGAAGATATGATAGTGATAATTGATTGAGACTGTCTCAAATATAGTGCAACTCACTTCAATCGAAATAAAAATTTTTGCGAGACATCAATTTATTCGAGTTGTACAAAGGGGGTGCATCTCATGATCGGGTTTGAAGCGTTTGTGTATTTATCTTCCTTGATTCTTTCCTTAGAATGTTCACCTTCACATGACCAAGAGAGAAATAGAGCATTACTTTGGTGTCAAGGATCATACAAAAAGTAAGACAAAAAAGTTCCTTTTCGTATGTTTGATAATTTTGAGCTATTTTTGCGATATTTTGAGCAGTGAAAAGAAGGTTAGTGCAGTCGTAAGCCCATTTAGGTGTTGCTCATGGAGATCGTAACTGACAGCGCCCCTGAAGGTGGAGAGAGAAATAAAGCTTCTTTCCTAAAAACGTAATTAACTAAAGCCAGCCGAGTTTTGAACACGGACATTTCGACCTGGAGCCCAACGTACTACCTGTTAAGGCAACGCGTCTTCCACATTCCAACTGACACTGGGTAAGCCCCGAAAGGCCTAGACCTCTAAGAACGTAAGTTTTTACCATCTTTTCACAGTTCCCGAATACGATATTAGCTCGCCACATCATACAGACGTTAATGGAAGGACTACGTCTCCCTTTCGCATCAGGAGAGATGTGGGTCATTCAGATATTTTACATTACGACGTGCATGCATTTGGTTCCAAATTACGGCTTAGATTGAAGCGAAATGGTAATCTCATGGCACCGAACTTAGTTATTGAGAGACATCACGGAGAGGGTATGGTAACGACTCAATCTGCACCCAAAAACAAATACTACTTGGGACAAGTTTTGTCCGATCCAGATTCCTTGGTGGCCTTGCGAGGTGACAGAAGCTTGGTAAGAGTTTTGTTACGTTTGATGGTATCTTGAGTTTTCTCTAAACGTTTTTGCCAAGCGATAGAGAAAGGAACATGGTAAGTTTGACTTATGTAAAGTTTCTGAAAATGGTGTTCTCGCTCAGACACGCCTGTGTTTGCTACCGTGTTAATGATGTGCATGAAAAATGACGCGCTTCTAATTGGCTGAAAATTTGTGCATTCTCTTGTAACTCGAGTGCAAATAACAAATAACACGCGCACACTTTCAAAATTTCGTCTGTCTTGCCTTTCTAATATGTTTTTTTTTCATGTAAATTATTAATAATAAAACATGATTTCTCCTGCAATTTGGTGTAAACAGCACTTGTAAATTTTTCAAAGACTACAAATTGTACTCACCCTATGGGCTTGTGCAATTTTGCTCTCTTTGAAAAATTTACTCGTGCTTATTAACACCGAATTGCATTCCAAATCATCTCATTAGGCATACAAATTTCTTGCTGGTACTTACATTATGTTAATTTTTCATCATTAGATGGGTATGATCAGGACTTCTCGAGAAACACTATTTATACAGCCGCTCTCGCCACACTTGGCCAGGAGAGTAAGGAGAAATGCGTACTCTACGCCGCACTTGATTTACAGAATTCCAACACAAGAAGCGGTTTCCTGTGAAATGCAGTCAACAGGTTCGTTCGTTTTGTAAAACGAGCAAATACTGGAATTAGTGATGCCACAGTAATGGCGCAGGAGTAATTTGTTTTAGCTCCATTCGCGATATCCCATGTTGGTTGGTTCCCGCCTTATGGTTCTTTTGTTTTCGGCCTTCCTCCACGATGATAAGCACTGCCAAGTTTAACTCGACTTGGGCACAAGACGCGAGGATCAATCTATGATAAATTCAGTTTACTTTTCAATTTTTTTTCTCTCTGGCATTTCCACTGGCAATTCTTTATGTGATTTTGAAAGCACTAAACCTGCTTTCGGTAAAGTACATTTGCAATGCTCCCCCTAGGCGTTTGTTGTCTTTCAGCAGCCATTCACTAGTAAGATGGCAAGGAGGTAGCTATGTATCAGGTTTTATCTCCAGAAAATCAGGGCATTTGGGGTTGTGAGGGCATAACCCATACTGGTCGATTATCTTGATTTGTGCCTTTGGTCATTGTTTCCGTACTGACCACGAGAGGGAGATCTGTGTAACTCTCGTGATACTTAGCCAGGATTGTTGTCTGTATATCGCATTGTGTTTAGATGTACTTATTTGGCCTTTTCCCACAGACCACTAGATTTTTCATCAGTACTGATACCTTTTCTTTACTTTTATTTTTCTTATTTTTCAGGAAAAGATCGTATCAAGAGATCTACACTTAATAGGAGGACTCGTGAAGTAAAAACAAATGGCTATAAGTTTCTTGAAGGAGCGTTAATTGTTCCTAAAAGCTACGAAGAGAAGTATGGAACAGATGAATTTGCCACAGTACTCCTCGCTATTGCCAATATGGTATGTGTGCTTGGGCATATTTACGACGAAACAATATTGATTTTGTCTTAATCAACGAGTTCTAAAATGGCTGGAAGCCAGACAAATATTCGCCGTATCAGCAGCTTTAGGAAAATGCCCGAAGGTTCTTTTTTTACATCAGGGAACAATTTTTTTTTTCATTCTAAAGATGTCCTCTTTGATATGCAGAGGTTCACTTCAGTAGGAGTTCGCTTCAACGAAAGGGTGGTTATTTACTATCCTGAAAATTTGCGATGGAAGATAAATTTTAACTTATCTTACACCTTTAAAAAGGAAATTCCATCTTTATCAGAATTACATTTTTTCATCTGATAGGTTGCTGGTATGTATCAAGATCCCAGTATAGGAAAAATCAAGGTCTATTACGTGGTTACCAAGATTGTTGTTATGGAGTCAACAGTAAAGCTGGTAAGAAATACTTTTAAGAACCAAGTTTGCTAAAGATACTGTAGTTTAGATTGGTCTGGTGAAAACGAACCAGAAGCCATTGATATTGAAAAAGATGATAAAAGTGAAAGGTCGTAATTGGAGCCAAGAGTGCGTGTGTAAACGTTGGAGACCAAGGCATATTGTTTCTTGTTTAAAAGCTTCGGACGTGAGCCGGGAAAAGTGGTTCTGGCAAACGTGTCAGCGAAAGAGAAAGAAAGAAAAATAAAAGTCTTGCACTTTTGAACTCTTGTTTCTGAGAAGTCCTATCGTGCTGCATCGAGTCAGAATTTTTTTTAAAGAAAGGGAAAACCAATTGAAACAAGTTTAATTGCAGCTAAAAACTTTGTTTTTTTTTTGCTATGTAGGCTAATTTCACTAAGGTCGACAGCAATAGCAAGAAGCTGACACAGATGTTGAAATGGGCGGGACCTTCAACACTAAGAAGTAATAACGACCCGGATCACTATGACGTGTTCAGTTACGTGTCAAAGTACGTATTATCTTTAGATCCCCGGATGAATATCAAAATAATTTTTATTCGACGTCATGTTTGTCGCGCACAGCATTGGGTGGATAACCGAGCAAATAATACTTGGTCTGAAATCAAAGTGAGTTCACATAATGTTTCTTCTCATTACTGCTGAAATTATGACGTGAGCTTTTCCAGCTTGGGCTCTGTTTTGTTTGCAAAGATTGCTACACGAACAAACATGCTCTTCCAGCTTGATTTCGAACGAAAATATATGATGTTACATCCGGGACTGTAACCCTTAAGATCTGAATAATGGTCCCCTTTCTAGTTGCTATACTTTTTCACCTAAGTAAACAAAGGATGAAAAGCACCCTCGAGCCGATGTATTTGTCCAATCCCATCGCCCCACTTTTTTCCTGAATGATGTAAAGAGGGAAGTTGCATTTGAAAAACCTTGATAGTGGTATTTTAAGTCTCTCGTGGGGTGTCAGACTCATCGGGGAAAGGAGCAAACAGCATCGTATCTCCTTAAGGGTGAAAAATACTTATGGTTGTTTTACGAGGCATTACGTAAACGTTTCAAAAAGGCACGGGGGAAAGTTTGCTTAGAGAGAGACAGATACCAGCCTACAATGTTAGAAAAACTCTACAATTAACTCCTTTTTGCACAGAAGATCAGACAGATAAACAGAGTACAGACAGAAAGACTGTTTAAACAGTTTTTTATTCGTCACCAAAAGGACTCTATCATGGAGCGTCTAATTCCGGTTGAGAATTATATTGTTTTATGTAACTAAGCAATTGTCTCCCTAGACTTGTGATGAAATTTTGTGAATTGACCATCTTACCGCTTTCTTCCCTTTTTGCAGTGAAATAAAAAGCGGAGGTAAGATGCTCTTTGCTGACTTGTGTAATCAGCTGAAAGATGCCAAGCTAGATGAAAGTCGTCGTTTTAGAAATTTTCAAATGTTTTTGGGTCATAAAGGTTCCAAGGAAGGTAAGAAGAATAAAGGGTCATTAAATATATCCTTATATGTATATTTTTAGGTCTCGCCATTGCTAACCAGATCTGCTCCAAGGCAGGCGCAGGGGAATGGTAACATCAACGCTGATGTTGGTCTTCAAACTGCACTTCACGTCGCACACGAGATAGGTCACAAGTAAGTGACGACGTTGCGTTGTTTGCATTTTGCATTACGCGTGATGTCAGTATTTGTCTTCGTCTTGTACGCTCTCCTATATCAGATTTGTTTGTCACAAATTGGCCCGGGAAAAATAACCACCCGGATCAAATTTTAGATTGGAATATTTTAATAATATCGCGACAAGGTTTGTCGGAAGTTTCGTGTGTCGTAACTTGAAGTTAAGGTAGCACAATTAGCTGATGTATGGACAGTTTTGTCGTTGCATGTTTGTTTGAATGAGGTAAGAAATGCTTGTACCTTACCATCACATGAGAATTAAAGGCTTACCTTTCTCTGTTGTCGCAGCCTTTACCTTGATCATGATGGCGATGTAGGGTGTCCGCAGCATCAATACATTATGGAAGCTGTTTTACTGAGTGGTATCTATGCAGCAACCTGGTCAAATTGTTCGCGGAGGGTCCTTCAGGAATTCTTAGGGTGAGTGCCTTCTTGTGGAAAATCAGTTAGCGTTTCCTAAACTTATGAAACAACTGAATATTCTCAATCGTATCTTGATTAAAATGATCTACATACTTTAGTAAATGCTGCTCAAAATTTATTTTCCAATATAATCTGGAAAACGATTACCACTTATGACTTTTTATGCCTTTTTTACACGTACCATAGAAATACTTTTTAGATTGATTTTAAATAGCATTTTATGTTATTACACTATATAATTATACCTTTTGTAATGTTAACACTCTAACGATAAGCTAGGAAATATTATGCGGTAGATGGGCTTTGTTTACTTTTACAGATCCAAATAATGAAAGTGTGGCATCTGTGAACTGCTCTCTAACATCTGCTAGGGTAATATCTTACCACTTTGTTCTTACTGTATTAACAGAGGCAGCAAGTCTTGGTGTTTAGATAACACACCCTCGGCGATCTTCCAACCCTTAAACCTGAGTATCACGGCAAACTTCCCGGGGAAATCTTCGATGGAGACGCTCAGTGTGTCATGCAGTACGGCGCTGATTACGTATTGTCACCTTATGAAAAGGTGAGCTATGACTGAGAAAGGAAGTACCACAATGAATAGGTTCGGCGCGCAGCAAGCCATGGTTTATCTTATGCAGCTTTATCTTTGAACCAATGGGGAGCAAGTTGTTCTTGGATTTGAAATCGTTATGGCTACACTTAAAATATTGGATGGCGGATTTGGGAAATCAGTCATTCGTTTCACACAAGTCAGCCAAAGTATTTTCCACTATAGTGAGATTAGTCAAGCACCCAAGAAGAGATGGAAACTTTGAGATTACTGGTCCGCGGGGCCTACGCGTCTTAAGTTAAGGAGAGCCCTTGCGAAATATGCAGTGAAGATGTCAGGCCATCAGACCTTCTCCTAAACAGATTAACATTTCACTGATTTAAACTCATCGCCCTTTCTTTCAAAAATAATTTCTAATTTAATTTTTTTTTTCAGGGAGTATGCGATAAGTTATATTGCTTTAATCCCAAAAGTGGAGTGCAATTGAGTCGACTAGCACCGATAGCTGATGGGGCACCCTGTGCAGAACGCAAGGTAAGAGCAAGGACGGTTATCCTATGATAATCTTATGAGCGCCCGTAGGCGTTTATTATGGCTATTTTCTTCTGCTACGAGCGAAACTTCCATGAATACCGTCACGAAAAACACACCACGTACTTGTTATTAACATGTTTAAACGCTTTAGCACTTTCTGTTAACTTTAGAAAGGACTCCGTGAGAGTTTTGATTTAAGCAGAGGCAGGAAACAAATTGCCGCGAGTATACAAAAAATAGCTAAACGGCATGAGTATACTTGCAATTATGCTGTTCATGTCGTGAGTTAGGTCCTCAAACTTGAAATAAATTTTACCACCTGAAACCCTAAACTGACCTTTATTGCGATGAAAAGTCTGAAAAAATTTTTAAATGTTTTTAGGCATGGAAACTTCAGAAACCTTCTGTCCAGCTTATAAGTTTACAGTGGTGAAGGAGTGGTAGAGGAATTTGGCTACAGACTTCACGTTTTTCCTGTCCAAATTGAAGTATTCTTCAAAAGCACTTTTATAATTAGTGCCTTCTAACTAGTGTGATCTTGCACATCACTATTTTACATAAGTTTTCTACAATTTCTGCTCGGGTTTTCAGTGCCATTACGTTCATACAGCGGGAAATTAATTTGTCTTTGCTCTTCTGACCAGCGTTTCATTCGGCTTCCAGCGCTTTGATTGATTTCTCGCGATTTTTTTCATGGTTTTCATGAGAATCAGCGACTTTATCACAAATTAAGAGCTAAGAATAAGTTTATCTTTATCTCTGACAAACTTCGCTCAGAATTATGTCATGGAGGCGACAAACAACACTTTCTATTGTTTCCCCGGCGTAACAAGCCACGGGGTATGTTGGAAGAACACGAGAAAAGTTTGTTACTGAGGTTCCTGCAATCTGATTGACTCTCAGCAGTACGATTTAATCTCAGATCGTACTCTTTTTCATTTTTTTGTGACTTGTTGAATAAGACATTTTGAAGGACAAAAATTTGAGCAATTCAATTGTAACATTTCAAAATTAGATGTTGATATAGAAGCGGAAATTGACTACATATTCGGCCATTTTCATGCGCGTTTATTCGATTTTGAAATCGTGCGTAAAAAATTCCAAACCAGATTAAACTTCTTGCAGCTCAGTTACCGTAAAAAAACAAACCCTCTAAATCTCTAATGATTATTTGTCTTTACCGGTCTTAATAAAGATTTTCTGTTACAATTACAGTGGTGCATAGGCGGGAAATGTGTAGACAATGGCAAACCAAGAATTAATGGAGGTTGGAGCGCGTGGTCTCGTTACGACTCACCATGTACACGGCCATGTAACGGTGGAGTCACGTTCAGAACTCGAACTTGTACAAATCCTGGGTAAGTTTGAATAATAACAAATCTAAAACTGTATTTCCTGCAGCATTTGGGCCTTAGGATTATGAAAGGCGTGTTCGTAATGAATTTTTTCTACCGTTATTTTTGTTTGTTTCTTTTGGTTGAGTGTGTGTGTGTCTGTCAGTCTAGTTTTTTTGTAGCTTTAAGTTGTTGTCGTTGTCGTTCGTTTTTTGCATTTTTTGTTTCAACTAGCGATTTTTAAGTTTCTTATATTTGCTTTTAATCGTCTTCGTCATTAGCCATCTTTGTTCCTCCCTAGTGTATGATTTGTTTCTTTTTTATTTGTCTATCGCACTGAACTAATCTTTTGTGGTCTTCAACTTTAAGGTAGCTATACACAGTTAAAAAACAGACACTTAAAATTCTATGACGTAGCGTCTTCGGCGGGTCTCTTCTGTGTACTCTTCTGCTATACATTTCTTTGGTATTGACCAGGGGAATTTTTTTGACAATCAAAGCTTCTTGGCCACCATTTCCTTTATTCTCGTGATCTTCATGAATAATTCAGCAGTATAACTATAAGAAGAAATTAATGGCTCATATTCAACAAGCGCAAGTGGAATAATTGTTTTAATTAAAACCCCCAAAATATAGAAAATATAGATAAATCTTCGGAATTTACTTTATTGTTTCCTCTGAGATAATTGCTTAGCTCCGATTTAATTTTTGAGCATGGCTTATTGGCTCATAACCCATGAGCGCTAAGCATTATCTAGTATACACTGACTGCAAAAACGTTGACACCTAATAAGCTTGATTCACGAACGACAAGACCCAACACCTTTATGGGAAATGTTCGCACAGATACATAAACAGTGATTTACTTTCTCATTATTCATGAAAAATCTTTTCTCATGATAAAACGTTTTCTTCCGGAAAGTTTGATAGCTCTTATCATTCATTACGTCCAACTTATGGTTATTATAAACGCTTGTTGCGTGTCAACGTTTTTGCAATCGAGTGTATTTTCAATAAAATATCACCTGCAATCAGGCATCTTCAACCGACTTTTTCTTACTTACTAGACCATCTAATGGCGGGGAATCCTGCGTTGGAGAAAGCAAGGAGTGGAAAATTTGTAACTCGCAGGTTAGTCCGGAAAATCGCCCACAAAAATACAATTTAATTTGGAATAAGAGCGTCTCTGCTTAAATGTTGTAACAGTGATACCTTCGGATTATTTACTGGAGAAGTATCCTCAACTTGAATTTAATATTTATGTTTTGCTATTAAAAGGATTATATAAGATCATGACATTGATTGTGTTTTGCGATTCCAAAGAATTGGAAGACAAAAATTGTATTCAAATATTAAAAACTTTGAGCACGGATGCCGACATTTTGAATTTTGTTTATCACTCTTGCAGGTTACCGTTGTCGTGGGCAAGTCTCAAACCTTTTTTGATATCTGTTTAAACAGTTTCAATTCACACAAATAAGCATTCTTGACTCAAGTTAGAAGTAATAATTTTATTTCTTCGATACCAGCGTAACGTAGCAGGTCCTTTGAACTGCGCGTTTTTTTACGTTGGCTGCCGGGTTACTGAGTTGTTTTCAAAATGGTGGCATCCCTAGACGAAATTTTAGCACATTTGCAGACAATTTTCGAATGAACGATTAGGCGAATCTTAAGATCTCAAACCGCGTAAGGAGTATATGTTCAAACTTTATATTAGCTGAGATAAATTTTTGATTGGGTCAGAACCATGTTTCTTCTTTAATCAAGCGAGAGAGAAGTATGCAAGGCGAAGGAGTCTCCCAGACTGATACAGATCCAATCTCTATCATGTTATTTTAAGACTCCACGTTGGTTAACAAAAGATAAGCCTTGAATGCGCTCTGTTCTTTTGTAAAGCTCGCAGGAATCGGCTGAAGCACGAAAGAAGTGTAGGGAGAAACAAGAGACGTAGTTTCTCACTTTTTTGTTTTAAAAGAAAGAATCCGCTTACTTCCCCACGCATTACTCTATACTCTCTTATAAAATGTTCAGAGAAATGCGCCTGCCGTGATTGGTCAGAACGAGTTCATTATATTTCAATTAAGCACGCGCCTTAAGTCACACGAGTGCACTGTTGAGATATAATGCACGCAGTCTACGTCATCGGTACAAGCACGTGCAATTCACGATACATTTTATATAAGAATAAAAAACTTGTTCCTCGAGCATTGTTGAGTTTTTTACACTTGAGAATTTTTAGAATATTCGAGAAGTGCTCCGCACTTCTCTCGAGTTCTTAAAAATTCCCGCGTGCTTATATAACTCAACGATGCACTCGGGCGCGTTTTTCATTTCTATAATAAAGCATCGCGACAATAAGCCAACCAGAATCCTTGTTAGAATAGTTCAAAGGATCTGATTGGTTGACCAAGACTAAAGCTGTCAAAAAATGTTAAACTATCAAAGTTCACTATCTGTAGTAGTTTATAAACTGAAATAGTTCGGCACGTCGAATTCAACACTGCCTGAAGCCTTTTAGTCTCTAATACAGAATCTGAAACTGAAATGTTCAGTGAAATCTGACCGAATTGAAGCTCGGAA